GTGTATATTCTCATCTTATTTACATTATTTTATCACTCAACGAGAGAACCTCGGCATTTTGAACATTTGTCATAATTTATTATACTTCACTTGGTACCAATTAGCCTAGTTCTGTAATGATCATGATATTAATCCTTCGGGATGGTGCACTTTCACTTTACAGGATTATCTGGAGAATATAATTGCAGATCTGTCTGTCCTTTATACATAAAATAATCAAATTTTCAAAATCCAGATTAATCGTTATGGTAAAATCAATTTTCAGAGATTGCACAGCAGATGCCAGCAGCAATATATCTTTAGTACAAATTACCATATTTCGTTTTTATGACTATTATTATTAATTATTATAAATTTGATAATATGTATATTGAATTCACTGAGCATCGAACAACATTATTTTCCAGATGATGGATCCGATGGATTGAATGATAATCATTTTTGAGACCGTTCGACTGCCAATGGTGAAAGTCTGTTTATAATACTTTTATTACCAACAGCAATGAGTTATGGCCCGATTTAACTATGTCATTTCTGATTTTGTTGCGTACAAATCGTTGTTGATAAGTTAGTAGAAAAAAATTATTTCGCATCACACGATAAGACCAACGCACTTGTCCGGTTTTAAGTAGACGCCTATGCGAAGGCGTTTACTATTTACAATATATATTGAAATAATGATGTCACCTATATGTACATAGTTTATGACAAAATCGTAAACATGATTTATGTCTGAGACCATAAGGACGCAGCTCGCCTTAATAATTCTCCTGAGTTTCACAGATTGAACTGTAGAGTTTTGCCATATAATCTCGCTAGAAGCTTTCACCACTCAACGCGTCTAATATTCATTCCGTATTTCGCTCTAATCAAAATGAAAACACCATTTATTTTTAGAGGACTTGAGTATATCTCAAGGACCTAATCTCTTGACACAAACCCTAAATACACCTACGGCTAATATAAATTGCGTATAAATAAATATATACATATATATTTGTATAAATGAATACATTTGGATACAATGTAAATTACCATATATGATAGTCGAAAAATATGTAATATAATTTTTTTTTTTTTTTGTTATTGGATACGATCAGAGTTACAGGAAAAAACACAATGACATATGTGCGGACATGCAGACATTTTCCATGTTATTATAGATAAGAGCGTAGCCAATTTAAATAATACATTTTTATAATTCAGTACGAACATATTATCTCCGATCACAAAGGCCATAAAAATACGAACGGTATATTTTGATAGACGTCAGAAGTATGCGCTTGATTGTATCGACCATTTTTATTTTATTTTCAATAACCGCGATGACGGATCGAAATACCCGATTGTTGATTTTTTATAACAATATTATGTCATTCACGGTACCTACTTGTTGGGTAGCTGCAGGTGATTGATTATCCAACGGAATAAAACTCGCATCGCAGTATTATAATATAATATACGTATAAATATTAAATATCCTCGTGTATTATGAAAAAAAAAAAAAAATAAATGAAAAATAAGCTATTCCGTTTTAATAATATGTGATATATCATTACTCGTATGAGTTCTGAAAAATAATTCGCCTTCTGCTACTTTTCGCGTTCCGTCAAAAACGTCATAAAATGTAAATTACTTTGATCCGACCGTTTTGCCATAGGTGTTCGTATAATACGTGTACACGTTCATACGAGTACGCGATAAAAGGGACGCGCGCGTATTCTTTGAAACTAAAATAGCAAGAGTGAGTATGAGTAGTGAGGGGAGAGAGAGGTGGAAATGCGTTATGTGAAAGACGTCGCATATGTATGATGATACCGAATCGTGAACAGCCCTGTAAGTGCTTTGTTGACGATTCTAAATTAATTACTGAAAACTCTGTGTACACAATAATAAACTACGTCGGAGTAGATTCGCATAAGTTTAATCGGATTGACTACGCACTAAATGAAATTGGTATTTGACAATGGTCGGAATATACTGTACCGTTCGAACGTTATGGAAAGGTCTCCAAAAATGTCTAGAGCGTTTTTGGTACACATGTTATTGTTTCGACCTCATACATAATATATGCACACTGTTGTATACCGCGGTACCTATGTAAACAATATTTATATGGTTGCGAAATCTGTGTTAAAATAATTGTACACCGCGATGTTTATTTTGGAAATTTTTCTCGGACCGTGCACCTGAGTAATAAGACATAATTCTATGATATAATGTAATAAATTAGTGTTATGACGCATTAATATGATCACGAACGGAAACATTATTGGCTTATCAAAAAATTAATTAAAAATTCGTTGAAAATATTTAACGTTTTTTTTTTTTTTTTCTGACCGTTTTCTTAATTAATAAAAAAATTATATTGCAACGTTCATGTTGTACGATGCTGCGTTCGATTTCTAATACCGATCATCGATTGGACCAAATTGAAAATGTGTTCCCAACCGTTTTTACTGGCTTGAAAAAAGTTTTTCGATTGTAAAAATTGGAAAATTTAATCGTAAATAGCCGCAACAGCTCCGTTCTGAATCTAATAAACACAAAAAGAAATGCGGTTCGGTAACAATGTTGTTATAAAATGTTGAAGAATGACAAGATAAGAAACGCGAAAGTGCGGTTTAGAATTTATCGCATTTCCATTCCAGTCGGACGCGGTCGTCGACTACGCGTATTGTGAATCTTGTTTATTCCGAGACGCGCGAAATCTGCATTACGGGTCGAATACGATAAATGAAAATTAGAGTGGAGTTGATGAAAATTAAAATGTCTGTGGAAAAAACGGAAACGTAATTGGATTTACGCCGATTTCGATATATTGTTATTTTTGGAGTTTACAACCGTATATATATATATATATATATATAACGTAAAGATTCTGCAGGTGTATACGGTGTTGAAGTGTTGAAATTATTCGGCATATCATTATTTCGTGACATCGACGACTTACAGATAATCGATTTATTGGTATCGTCATTCTTAGCGCCTATCACTTCTTAAAATAAATAAATCCTGATGAGTTATAGTAAAAACAAATACTCCTCGTACGTTATATCGAAATTGATATTTTCCAAATCATCGCGCCTATATAGAGTTGGAATCCAGAAATATAATAGTGCAAATTGAAATATTATTATTATTACTCGACATACATACAAATCGTCATTCATTATTATAACATAGGATATACAAGTACGCCACTGTTTAACGCACATCATCGACGTTTGATATTTTTCAAACGGTCACGATATACACAAATATTATATTTTGGACACCCGATCGGTGTACACATTAGTGATAGAAAAAACACGGGCTTCCAAAAGTTTGAAATATTCTGGAATTCGAAATCCGAAATCGGAATAGTACTCTAAAATCAGATTTCGGTTTTTGAAAAATTTGATTAGTATTCTTTTGCGTATGGCTTATAATAAAGTTTTTTCATACTTTGTAATAAATTGATTTTTAATTATAAAACAGAATTCCACAATGTTATATATTCGGATGTTGAAATCCGTAAATCCGCAAACCTGGATTTCGGATTTTCAATTCTGAAATCCGAAATCCTGATTTATCGTATTTTTGGACAATCCGGATTTAATTCTCATCACTAATACACGCTACATCATTACCATTTCATTATAAATTATCATTATTATATGTATCATTGTATATTATGCACGTGTGTAACACGTACAAATTTACACATTCATATTACGACATGACCACATTTCTATGTATACGCCCATTGTATATCTAATGTAATGCAATTCTACTCGTTCACTAGACACGCGTCGGTATTATTATTCCGACGACACGACTGCGACGTGTCTGCAGAGTGCGTTTAACGTCATCACAACAACGAATACATTATTAAATAATAATAGTAATTATTATGCGTTTGTTGTTCGTTTATTGCGTGATAATTATTCACCGTACAACAATATTTCCACGCCTGAATTTATCTCAGCCTCGGGGCTGCAGAAGAGACCAAAAATCTAGCGCTTTTACGCGATATCCGAAACCGCGCTCTAACTTCTATATCCTAATGTCCGTCTGTGTTGATCGCGTGGACTTGTGGACTTAATGAGGGCCCGTCCATCTTTCAAATCATTTACTCGTTTCGTTCGCATTATTGATCTGGCCACGCATCGGTCATTATTACAGCCTTAGTGACCGTCCCATCCCGCAACTGCAGTGACAACTAGAGCCTGGAATTTCGGTACGAATTATATTTTATCCAACACGAGTACCTATTTAACGGTTTGTTGAGTTCGTATAAAAATGCACGTGAGCATGAGAAAATTGAAAAATAAAATTCCAGATTGTGATTTTAGATCCAAAATTTTTTTAAAAATGGTAAAATAAAACGGAAAAACGTAATACAAAACCGAGCATTGTATTAACAGGTACACGGAACAAATTCGTAACGATACTAACGTGGCACGAAAAGCTTAGTCGAACAATATGGAACACATAGAATCACAGCCGGTGGCGTGACCAAGGGGGGAGAGGGGCGAGGGGGTTAGTCCATATTTATTTTTATAGCCCTTCCAGATTAAAAATAATGAATCTCAGAATATTGTGTTTAAGATTGAGATAAAATCCATGCCTATAATCTCAACACGCGAAATAACTAATAAGTATAACAATCCTTGTTGTTCAGTGTGTTATGGCTTTACTAGTAAACATCCAAAATAAAAAAAAACGGTTCACGCTTTTTCGTCTTCTTATTGTTATCGTCTTGGTAAAATCCGAACCGAACCTTATAGTACATAAGTATGTACAGTGAGTTAGCGACGGGTGTTGTCTGCGTATAGATTAGTAGATGCGGTTTGGATTCACGTTATCTAGGCGCTTATAACACCGTCACCTCCCGAAACGTAAGCTCTGTCCGCGATGATAAGAGAATAAATGTGTTGATGACCGCCGCGGTATAGCGATGCCGTACCGACGATAGTAGTACCAATATAATAACGGTAACACGTGGTTTGATGCAGGTAACCAGTTCGAATGCGACTGCGATCTGCTGTGGATGAACCGGTTGGCCGCGGAGACGATCAACGAACAGGTGAAACGGGTGCTGTCCGAGGCGGAGTGCACGATGAACAGCACGGCGGCCGACGGCGACGACGGGTCGGTCGAACAGCAGTTCGGCAGCGGCAAGCAGCGGAAAGCGTTCGAGAACGGGCTGGACGACGGCGTGCCGGGCGTCGGAGTGGGGGGCTACGGTGAGCAGGCCGGCGGGACAGGATCAACTGGTGCGGACGGTGGTGGCAGCGGCGGTGGAACAGGAACCAGTGATGGTGCGGACGCGGTGCTTATGAGGTCCGCGGACGAGTCGCAGCTGACCAAGGTGAGCGCTTTGGACGAGGATACGTGCCCGGGCAAGGAACCACCGGTCGTGGACGGGGCACCGGACGCAGCTCAGAACTCGGACCGCGTGCTGTGGGAGTCGACCAAAACGTCCGGGTCGGCAGCCGCCGCCACCGCCGCGCTCTTCCGGACGCCATCGCCGTGGTCGTCAGTGTCACCGCTGCTGTTGCCGGCTCTCGTCTTCGCTCTCCGTTCCCGTTGCTGTTAAGCTGACCCGCGTTCCCGTATTTTACATAATAATAACGATAATAACGATAACAATAATAATAATAATGATATTGTTTGATACGTACCACTACTCAGATGGATTACATTTGCATATGTATTGCACGGTGATCAAAACGATCCATTGGAAATGTGTATGTGTACAAATTCGTACTCGAGCGTGCGCACACACTCGCACACACTCGCATACACACGAATACACACGCACGCACACGCACACACATACACACACACACATACACATACACACACGCTCGCTCGCACGTACTCGTCTTACGATTACGCGTGTGCAGTGGTCGCGTTTCTTCAAAACCGGCCCGAAACGAAAAATCCTGACCGTCCCCGAAAGCTACCCCGATTCCAAAATCTCTCAAATCTCACGAATATTTCACCGGCAATCATCGCGCGCTGTTTCAGACGTATCCTCCCCAGGACGCCGTACGCGTAAGCTACTCTCTCCCCCCTGTCACCCTGTTCCCTCTTACTTGTCCAACAGTACGATACACGTGTCGACGGTGTAAGGCGCCAAAAGATTTTCACCCCGAACGTTTTTCTAATCGATCCGAACGACGAACCGCCAAAAACGTTGGTCCTCCGTTGCCAAAGTGTCGCGAAGTTGCGCGTCACTGCACACACAGTTTTCATTGCGATAGATTTACTAACGATTCATTACTATTACTATTATTATTATTGTTATTATTATCATATTCCGATACCATCGTTTCGTCAAGTAACGTATATATTTATCGATTCATACGTAAGTCGTATGAAAGCGAAGAGTACCGTTCGCCTATCGAACACGCACGTCTACGGCATCGCATTTTATAGCCGTCGCGCGGCGCTCGATTTGCGTGACAGTAAACGGATCCCGGAAGTGACGAAAAACGGCACTGAGCGCGACCGGTGAAGTTTCGCGCGGTTATCGGATTACGGCGATATTGTAATGTTGTTTCCTGACGAAAACGCTGCAAAAACATTCCGATTGAAAGCAATAAAGACGATTTCGCGCAGAGAAGTCGTTATTGGTTGTTGTGCAGTAATTGGCTTAGGGATTCGACTTCGCGGTGGCCGTACGCTGTATTATTATGTATGAGTAATATTACTGTAAACGTTCGTTTTCGTACAGGAATGTATCCGGTTGCAATTTCTTTTTTCCCGCGTCATTTTCCTTCGACTTGGTTTTACATCGCCATAATATTGTATTCTATTGAAAACTATATCCTAAGCCACAAACATAAACCGATTATGATTAAGTAACATAATCAATCTCGCATAAATCATGTCCGTAAAGTTAAAATGTCTCTTACAAATATAACATTTATTTAAAATAAAAAAAATAAAAATTGAAGAAAAACTTTATTAATATGTATAAATTATTAATATTATAAAAGTATAAATAATATATCAAATATTATTCATGTAAAAATTATTAATTATAAAAATACTTTATTGGTGTTGTTTTAAAATATTTACGTGGTAGAAAAAAAACCGATGAGAATTTAAATCAATATTCTAACACGTATAAAAATTAAAAAATTTGTGATTTTTTTTTTTTTAAATATATTTAAGCTACTAAAAATAGAGATTAGAACTGTAATTATATTAGATAACCAATACAGTATTTTTATCTGCCACATAATGTGTACTTATTTGTGTTTGAGTTATTTTTTTTTTTTTTTTTAATTACAATTATTCATAAGGTTAATATACGTACTGTGTAAAACATATTATTATATAAATATTGTATCACAAGTCTTACATTCATTCACTGATTTTATACTGTTTAATTTTGTACTCGTGTACACGAAAACTTAAAACAAAACAAATATGTTGGAATTGCTGCAAATTAAAAAAAAAAAAACCTTTATATCTCTATATATTTAGTAAGTCGTACATTGTTTTAGTTTCCAAAACACGTAGTATACGTACCAAGCGCTGTTAAGAACTTAATATCCGTTAAAACCTATTCTTTTGTTATGTATCAAATAAAATCGTATATAATAATATATAAACACATATATCTATACATAATTCACCGTGTTTACATTCAATCGTTTCTCCTCGAGCACAATACTCTTGCACGTTGGAATACAATCGCCTTCATATAATCATATTTATAAGTTCATCAACAACCGATCACCGTATCCGATAAACTTATACCCTTTTGGTAAACATTTGTCTGGCAGTCATTTCTTACTCGACGTTTTATTCGCCGTGATCGTTGTTCCCGAAGGGTGTAATATTTGACTAGATTTTACAGTTATATGGAAACAAACAAACGTGTAAGGGTTGCAGACGGCGCATAAGTATACGTAACCCTTTCGTTTAAGATTTTCCTTTGCGGCGATAAGGAGAAACGCACAGAAACGGAGCGAGACGAAGTAGTATACGAACAACACCTTTATCATAATACTTCTCGGATGCACTACCAAGTATTTTGTATTTTGTATTTGATCACAATGAAATGCTTGGAGTCTTATTATAGAGTCGACTGTGAAAAACTGCGCACAACATTACGTTATTAATTTATATTGTTTATTCTAAACAGTTTTGACGTAATATAATACTACAATACGCACTTGTATGATAAACGATTGTCCGAAAATCGAACGGTGGGGATGCAACGTCGTGATTTTCACATTTCCTGAACTTTATTTCACGGCAGCTGCGGTGCGTTAAAGTTCGTTCACACGATCCCGAATGGGCGGTTTTGCTGTATCGGTGATTTTACCGTATAAAGCACGATTCACACCAGTCGGACATCGTACCGTACCGTTCCACAAAATATTTTATCATGTGTTTTAATTAAGGTAAGTAATTCACATTTGAACGTTTCCGCTACATATACGTTCATATACGTACCGCGATCCGACAGAGTCCGTCTGGCATTCCTCGCCCAAACAGACTGTATGAACAGTGTGAATGAACAACAGACATATTATGTCCGTCTGCCGTCATACAAGCTGGAACACCATTCGGCGTTCACATTTTTTAAAAAGTTCCTACGTGTAAAAAAAGCATAAACTTTTAATTTAATTTTAATTTTTATGGACTTAAGAGTCATCAATTGAACTTGTTAGAGGCCGAGAACGCCTCTATGCATTTTCGCACAATATCTGTAGACATACCTGGTAATATTAACTAATTGTTATTGAAACTTATAAAAGTTTATTGTTGAAACAGAAACAATGTTGGAGCGCAAAAGTGAGTATGGGAACAGAACAGTTTGTCTGCATCGAGACGAAACTATTCGATATCTGTATGCACGTCAGATTAGTGTGAATCATCCTTAAACTATTGACAATGAAATTTGAACAAGCATATTCAGGCGACACGGTATCGTACTTTGTTCGGTAAAATTATTGATTAGGTCGATTTTGTCATTCGGTTGTATCACTACAGATTGTTTTCGATCGTACGGCAAAAAACCCGATTCGGTTTATCGAGAAAATGTATTCATATAAAACATACTATTCGGTATTTTGACCGATAGCTCAGGCATTTTTCAAATTTCCCATCTGCCCATCAACATTGTTGTATTCCAAGTGAAATTTTTATTACAATTAGTATAATAATTATACTAATTGTTATAAAAATTATTAACAGTGGTGATAAAAAAAAAAAAAAAATTAATATAATTTTATTACAATTGCACAACGAATGGTATAAATACAGAGTATTTATGAGTAACGTAAATCCTTACGTCATTTATTCAAGCAATACCCAGCAGTACCGTGGGATAAACCGCGTTAAATGAGTACAAGGACAAAACATTTGAAAGAATCTGCACGGAGGAAAATATGTGTACCAATAACAAGTATAGTTATATCGTTATAAATATATTCGGATCCATCTTGCGCGTCTACGTCTACGTGCCATTGCGCTACAAACAAAATCGAAAACGAGCGCGTGAAAAAGACCACGTGCACAGCTAATTATTAAATAATTTTAACAAATTTTGTTGAAAAACTATATACAATTTTTAATAATTTTCATTTCGATATTATTGATTTTACTTAATGTACACTTATGATAGATTGTAATTCTCAAAATTAAAGCTAATTGAAAAAAAAAATACATAATTTACGAAAATCTATCTTTTCGAGCGAAATCTTAACCACCTCGAAACACGTCTTAGTGTTAGGGTTAAGGTATAGTTACCAAATTTTCAAGATATTATTATTTTATAGATTATAACCGAATTTTAAGGTGGCACGTAAAAAATTATGAAAAAAAAAAAAAAAATGTCCTCCATAACTAAGGACCACCCTAGTGCGCACGTGGAGTGGCAAGAATACCGTACCGTTACTGTTGTGCGGCAAGACCGAAATTCACCGGTAAAGCATCCGGTGAAATTTTCGAGTCGCGCGAACCGCATTCGATCTCCGGAAAACGCGTGAAACCGCTCGACCCGAGAGATTAACACCCCCTCACCACAACCACTCACCCGTATTCATTCGCGTATTCACCCGCTCGCATTATTTTGTACGTTCGAAAACGGATATAATGCACGTACGGTATTACATTTGTACGCGTACGGATAATAATTTTGCGGAAATTTTTTTTTTTTTTTTTATTCTGTTTTATTCGTACGGCCAATTATACGGGAATTTATTACGTTCGCGTTCGTTTTAGAAACAACGGCGTTCATTAAAACATTTACCGCACACGAGGCCTAACGTTCAGTGCGCGCGCGCTCGCGTTTTATTTAATCGTGTGATATTACGCATCTGCCATACGCCATAGTAATACGGTGCGTACACACGTACGTATCGTATTCGCACGGCTAGTGTATATGATAACGATAATAACAACCCGTACGGAGGATTATTTTTTTCTTTCTTAAAATTCAAAACCATAAAATAAAGTAGATATTCATTTTTATTGTGCTCCCGTCATAAATCAAAAAAAAAAAAAACATAACGTACACATAGGCACCTAACGTGAATGCGAATTGTTTCTAAAAATTCCACTCGAGTCGGTACGCATAACTTCGCAAACATACTGAACAATAATTGTATACGTTTCGTATATTATATTTATTTAAATTCTCCCGGTTTCCCGACGTTGGTCCGTGGCAGGCTGTAAATATTATTATTAATAATATAAATATTATGAAAATTACTTTGCAGTTAATGAACCAACTGAATATTGTACCTGCTGTCCCGTTCGTGTAGAGTAGATTTTTTTTTATTCTGATTTCGTTGGACTGTTGAAATTTAAATTCGAACTGTTGAATATTTGATTTTACCAAATTTTTTAGTGATTTGTTTTAATTAATTTGCTTTACTAGGTGGGTAATACGAAAACCAATCTAAAATTAAAAAAAATTTAAATACAAAATACATAAATCAAAAACATAACTGTTCTGCATTAATGCACATAAATATTATTTGAATCATATAGATACGTAAAAATGCACAAAACAACAATACACATATAACCTATCTTATGTGAAATTGCATAGGTTCAAAAAAAAAAGGTTCATTTTAAGCAGATTTTCATATAACTGAATAAAAAAGATAATTTTAATTTTCTTTTTCGTTATGTTATAAATTTTAATTTTCTCATATTTAAAAATATTAATGATTTAACGTTATTTACTTTTTCACTTTCATCTATAACTTTCATTTGCACTTAAACAAATCTTAGCATATATTGTGAGAAAAAGTAAGACGAAACGTATCGACAGGAAAACTACGACTGCGGTGATTATAATAAAAACTGTTAATATTTATTCAAAATAAAATGTAGCGATTCATCGATGACCTTAATAATTGTTTCATAGACAAATAAATCTGGGTACTAAAAATATATTTGTTCATATTATGCTATGTTTTCCGTTTGATTAAGGTTTATATGATTTACGGGACCAATAGTTTTCCATTTTATTAATGCATGGTTTAATCCTATGTTAAATTATAGAAATCTGCTGGGACCATAGTAAAATTTCTGTACGTAACAAGATTTCGTCTTATCAAGTATTTGGATAAGACAGAGTTTACTGTATGTTTACCAATAATACGTTATCAATATAATATAATATATTTAAAATATAATATAATATAATATGTGTTGCGTTTAAATATTTTTAAAAGAAAACACAAAAAATACAATTATTAAAAGCCTACCGCGATAAAATCATCGACGTATATCGCAGTTCGATATCTTATCTTCAATTGATGTCTACTAAAATTAGAGGAACTGATTATCTTTCCAACAATCTAACGGGGATTTATTGATCCCACCGAAACTTCCGGTTTCAAAAAAAACTCTCGATTAACTCCGTCAGCTATTGATTCCACCGGCTACTGTTCATAAAAATAGAGCTTCTAAAGAAAAA